TTGATGGCAGACCATGAATTTTTCTTCGTTGATCCTGACATAAAGCTAAGTAAAGTAGCTCCAGAAGGATGGAAAGAGGAATCAAAGAAAAAGAACAAGCCCCCTGTCAACTTTGTTCTCTTCTTTCGCATCAAGTTTTTTGTGGATGATGTCAGTCTTATACAGTGAGTGTATGACCACTTTTTTAACCACTTAAGCCCTAAATTTATGAACAGAAGTTGGATGTTAATTTAAACACTCTGTACTTGCTAAATGGACAGGTACTAGAGGTGGAATAATCATAATGATTTTTTTCTCCCCCCTAGGCATACTTTGACCTGTCACCAGTATTATCTGCAGTTGCGGAAGGACATTCTGGAAGACAGGATGCACTGTGATGATGAGACAGCCTTATTATTAGCATCCCTAGCCCTCCAAGCTGAGTATGGAGATTACCAGGCAGAGGTACAGCACAAATTTCACCCCCAGGAAACTCTGTTCTTGCCGCTCAGTGACTGACGGGACTCTTGAGATGCCCTACATGCCTGACAGTCCTGGTGTGGTTTGGAAGCTGAGCTAATGCGCTCTTGCAGCTTATAGTCTGACAGAGAGAGAATAGTAACAGGGCTGTTGCAAAATCAATTTGAAGATATGGGTATTGAACCCTCTTTATGTAGCAGAAGTACATCTAGGCTTGAATAGGAAAACCTACATGAAGTTTGGCTCTGGTTCAGGGCTGAGATTCTGAATCCTATTGCTTACTTGTCTTTCTTATACTTTGGGATGTATAATTTGGTTTAAAAGAGTTTAAAATGGTGACACTGCCACAAACCTGTTTCATATTGTAGGTACACGGCATGTCCTATTTCAGACTAGAGCACTACCTCCCAGCAAGGGTGATGGAGAAACTGGATCTGTCCTACGTCAAAGAAGAGCTGCCCAAATTGCATAGCACTTATGTGGGTGCTTCTGAAAAGGAGACAGAGTTAGAATTTTTGAAGGTAAGTGGTAGTGGTTCACATCCTTAGTGTGCCATGCTCTCAAATTCTTTGGGAGAGTACTAGCTGCATAGAAATATTTGGATTTCAAATGAAAACAGAAGAAGAAATCTGGAAAGATCTTCTGAAAAGATGCATCATGCAAAGTGGAAAGAAATTGTAATAGGTGGGGAGGAAGGCGATTTTTTT